AACCCCTAAAAGACAGAACCAAAGAGATAGAGAAACCGGGGAGCCAGGACAACCAATGCTGCTCATCCAGCAAAGGCACTGGTCAGTCCAAGTCACAGATTTTTATTAGTAATCAATCAGTTAGGGTAAAGGTGAACTGTGTGCTAAATGGATTGCGAGGACATGCAACCGTGCAGTTACTATGGATATTAATGCAAGTAGGGGTTGTAAAGGACAAGAATTAGAAACAGAATAGACAAAATATAGGGTTCTAGTTAGAACCTTGTCTTTCTAGTTAAGAAGATTTTAATTGTGGGAATGGAATTTGGGTGTGAGTTACTCTGACCTGGACACATACGCTTAGGCCAGACTCGCTTTTCAAGACAAACCAATTGAGGGGTTAACTCTTTACAGCCTGCACTGCTTTCAGCCTGCTTTGGGCATAATCAGTATTGCAGTCCCCTACACAGTACTACTGGCCAGAGATAACTAGGGCCTGAAGTAGTATGTGGCCAGTAGGAAGCAAGAGAAAGAAGATGGTGTAAGGTACAGATAGAATATAAGTGTCTTGGCACCCAAATGGGTTCGTGAGATAGAGGGAGAGTTGGAAGGTATCTGAGATGATAGAATAATGGTGTTATTAACTAAAGCAGTTTTTGGGGAATGGTGATAGTTATAGGTATATTGAGCTGATGTAATATAGAAGGTAATACATATGCCATGTAAACAAATATAGATTTGAGAGACATGTAAGGGATAACATTTTTAAAATTATATTCCTGCAGGGGCTAGATTTAGCTCACTGGTTCTGCCACCTGCCTCAAAAGCTCAAGGTCCTGAGTTCAATCTCCAGTACCAAAAAAAAAAAATTATATGCCTGGAAGTGATAGCTGAGAAAAGAGTAAAATTTCTAAGGGTTAAAAGTACAGTAAGAAGAGTAGTAGTCTGAAGACATTTGTGAACATCTCCATATAGATAAGGAATACGTATTAGGAGACAAAGCTTAAGATATAGGAGGGATTAATTATTGTATAGTATTGCTTTGTCATGGAGGCCATACTAAGTTTTAGATCACTTTATTCTATGTAAGAATCTTTCTTGACTCCTGTAAGATTATTTACCTGGAGTAAACTTTAGAATGTTCTCTATAAACTTATGATGATTTTTTTCCCCATTTAAGTGGAAATATTACATATCTCTGATATATTGCCTTTAATGCATGAACCATAACTGTGACACTGTTGATAATTAAATATGCTTATAGCCAAAAGAATACAATCGTAGGCATTCAGGCAGTGCTCTTTGGGAACTAAAACACAACCTCTGTTATAGTGCTATTCACTGTTCTTGTTAAATAAAATATAATTTCTTTATTGTCATTAATAGGCTGATTAATTGGTTAAAGCAAGACAATTTTGATATCTGTTTTATTGAAGTACTTTGCCCGTTTTCCAATTTTATTGAATACTTATAGGAACATCTCAGATTTAGACTAGCAGCTCTTGTAATATTACATTCTTACAAAACTTGCAAAAATCGACTTGGATTGATTTATCTAGAGAGCAGATATGCAGTCACCTTGGTTAAAACTTCATCTTGAGCTTAGAAATAAAGACTCTGGAGCCTAAAGTAGCTGTTTCAGTAAGCACATAAATGTAAAAATACATTTCAGAAAGATGTAATAAATTGTTTTGGAGCTTTTGTGCCTTACAAATATTCCTTGTAGTTGACTAGATAGAAAATTAAAGTTTCTTTCCTTTTGTATTAGTGGATATTACTTTTAAAGAAAAGTAACACAGCTTTCCTTTTTCTGGTAATGCAAGTAATACATTCCCAAGGTAAAAAATTTTAACTATATTAAAGTAATTAAAAACTCAAATGTATTATATTCCTGACATTCAGAGCAAACTTAGGTTGACATTTTTCTTATGCTCATATTTACATGTAGGCACCTGCTGAATTATGGTGATCAGTTTTAGGTTGCTTTATAACCAGCTCTTTTTCACTTAGTTATATTGTGTGTGGGTGGATGGGGGTTTAAGACAGTCTCACTTTGTGGTCCTGACTGACTGGCCTTGAACTGGCTGTGTAGCCCCAGCTGGCCTGAAACTCAACAGACCCATTTCAGCCTCCTGAGTGATGGGGGTACAGGGATATACCTTTTTTTTTTTTTTTTTGAGACAAGGTCTTGCTGTATAGTCCAGAAAGACTGGGTTTGGGCTTACTTTGTAGCCCAGACTGGTCTTGCACTCATGATCCTCCTGCTTCAGATACTACGAGTATAGGTGTGTACCACCACACCTGACAAAATAATTTGCTTTTTGAGTTCTTTATCATACTCTTCACAGATTTCTCTTTTCTTTGGGGCCTGTTACTAGAAAGAGTGTGTGTTCTTGTGGAGGCCTCATATTCCCTTGCTTTTTTTTTTTTAATTCTTTTATTGCTACACTTTAGGTATACAGTATGTTTACATTTATCATTGGGTGCTTGTACCTGTACATGATGTATCTTGGTTCTTATTTTTTTCCCCATTACCTGTGTGCCCTTTACCCTCTCCACCCTGCCTTGCTTTTTAATGATTTTTGTATCTCTACATTGGTATTTTGTGTTTCTTCTGGGTCATTACCAGAACCAGTTTTGTAGGGTGGCTTATGTAGTGAAAGGCTATGTGTGGCCATGTATAGGGTGTTGGTTGGAAGTGCTGCATTGGCGTTAGTTCCTGGTGGGTGTTTTAGTATCTGTGTGACTTCTCTTATATCTCCGTGGTCTAAGCTGCAGGGTTTATGGGATTGCACCGCCACCTGGGCTGCAGCTCCTTGAAACAGGGAGGGTTCACTATCAGGTGTTGTGCCTGGTTGCAAATATAGAGCATTCCATTGTTTCACAGTTCATGTGAGGGCAGGACTGTTCTCGTTGGCCCTGATGGGCCCAGGTGGGTGCAGTGTCACATACTTAGGGTGTGTCACTTGATGTCTGAGTTCACACAGGGGTCAGGTTGCACCAGTGGACTTAGATGGGAAACCTCTTAGTGTTAGAAGGCTGCAGCACTGCTGAATTCTGGGAGCCACTCCTTTATGAGTTTGTGGGCTTCCTGGATACTTCCTGGGGCAAGGTGGGTGGTAGGAGTGGGAACTGCTGAAGGACTCCTGCTTACCCTTTCCCTGATGAGCAGAGTCTCTGGATTTAGGGTTGATTTTGAGAGAAAGAACAGTAGATGTTGTGTGCTGGTTCCTTCTGTATGTGGTCACTGTGTGTCTCTGCACTGCAGTGTTGCTGCCACATCCCCACTGCATTCTCTTGCTCTGCTTGAGATGCTCCAGTGATAGTTGTCTTTTTCTTCTCCCTTTATTTGTCCTTTGTTGTGGAGGGAAATGATCAAGGCACCTCTGGTAAGCCATTTTTCTGAGCAGTACTGTATGTGTGTTTTCAAAAGAATTTATCTTGAGCCAAGTTTGGTGTCATCTCGTTTTTATTTTTTAAAAATATTTTTATTAGTACCTATTTTACAGGGTATTGGGGTTCAATGTGGTATTTTGTATGTGCTTATCTTGATATGTTAAGCTTGCATATTCAGATTTCTAAGGATTACAATAGAAAAGAAAAAAAATAACTGGTGCATGCTTGTAATCCCAGCACTCTTTGGAAGCCGAAGCAGAAGGATCACAAATTTGAGCCTAGCCTGGGCAACTTAGTGAGACCTGTCTCTTAAAAAAAGAAAATATATATATATATGATGAGACTGGGGCTGTAGCTTATTGCATGCAGAGCCCCTGGGTTTGATCCCCAATACCATCATCACCACACACACAAAAAATCTTTTTTTTCCTTTTTGGTACTGGGGATCGAACTCGGGTCCTTGCGCTTGCACAGCAGGTGGCAAAACCACTGAGCTAAATCCCCGGCCCCACAAAAAATCTTAAGATAGTGGTTTTTAATTTTTTCAAGTGAAAAATGGTATTATTTGGTTATTTTGTTAACTGCTTTGTCTTCAAAAAAATTTTGCTTCCTTTCCTTCCTTTTACCTTTGGAAACATTTATAATCTAGGGTTATTGATTGTGATTTCTAGACTGTGAGGAAGAGACAAGATTGGGACAGTAGTGGATTTTTGACAATTAACTACCACTCACGGAGATGACAGATGTTATAGTTAATGATTTCTGTTGGAAAGTGATTTTGTATTCATTATCTTATTTGATGTTAACAGCTTCTAAGAATAGTTGAATCAGAGTTTTATGTCTTTGTCTTGTAATTGAGGAAATTGAGAAACTTGTCCAAGTTGACATACTGTAGTAAATAGCAGTGCTGATGTTAACAGAAAAGATTGCTGGTTCAGAGATTTACATACTTTTGACTCAACCACAGAATCTTTCTACAGAACTAGGGCAAGAAGATGGTGTTTGGCAGTTGGCAGCATAGAATATATAACTAACATTGCTTTGTTTTGCAACCTTGAAAATAATCATTTAGCAGCTTTTTTTCCTTGTAGCTTCTCTTTCAAATAAGGTTTATGCTTTTTGGCAGTTTGTTTATATTCCATAGGTTTGTTATACTTAAAATGCTTTGGAGCATTTCATTATTTTAAATTTATCGTTATTGTTATTAACCATTTTTATTTATCATTATTTTATGATTATTAATGCTTTAATCAGACATATTTCTACATTATAGTCACATTTAATGTATGAATGGAAGGAAAGAAATTCAGGAATGTAGAATAAGGTGGGTTAGGATTTGTACATTCAAATCTGTGCTACTTTCTAAGCAGTGACCTTGAGAAGGTAAATATTTGCTGTCATTGCTTGAAGTGACCATTGGATCTCATTTTTTAAATAACAGCTTCAGGATTTTATTTGCATTTTTATAAAGATGTATCTAACATGAAAATATCAGTGAACTCAGGCAGTAGTTTACTTTTGGGTTTATATGATTCTCAGTTTTCAGAACATTTTTATCTGTGGGATAGTTGGTTAGAAATGGTTTATCTTTGAAGTAATGATCACTGGTTTGCCTTTTCCCCTAGTCAGCAGATAAACAACGAGCCCTAGAGGAAACCAAAGCCTACACCACCCAATCATTAGCAAGCGTTGCCTACCTGATAAACACCTTGGCCAACAATGTCCTGCAGATGCTGGATATCCAGGCATCCCAGTTACGAAGGATGGAATCTTCAATCAATCACATTTCACAAGTGAGACCATGCTATTTTCTATTTTCCTAAGGGGAACACTTAATAAAGCTTATCTTGTAATGCTGCAGCCTTTATTATGTGAGTTTATGTGGATGTATGGTTTGGGAAATACAAACTCAATACTAGATTTTTTTGCTTTTGTCTTTTTGTGTTATCATTATATTTATGATTTGATAGAAAGTAAATGTTAATGTATTCTATTACATTTCAGTCATGATGGTAACATAATCAGCCGTGAAGTGATAATTTGCCCTATTTCTTCTACTTTATGCCAGATTTTACATTTTATGATCTTTAAAAACAGAAATGGTGGCTTAAATTTTTCTGTTAGGATTTATATTTACTGGGATGGTACCAACCGTACTTGCAGTAATGGAAAGACTAAGACTAGCAAACCTTATTAAAATATACAGAGCTTTAAAAAATATTAAATATTTTTAGTATAAAATTTGTGCACACAAAAATATAGGAATAAAAATAGAAAACCCCTTTTACCACTACCTAACCTTTTGACTAAGAAAAAAGAATAATTAAAGCATTTAAAATATATTTTCTAGAATTTGTGTCAAAGATTGAAATTCTTTTTTGTTTTGTTTTGTTTTTTGTTTTTTTGTTATCTGGGATCGAACTTGGGTCCTTGCACTTGCACCGCAGGCAGCGAAACCACTGAGCTAAATCCCCGGCCCTTAAAGATTGAAATTTTAAAAAAATTATGTTTAAATCCGCAAGTTGGATTCTTTGTTTAAAAATTCAATTGAATATAAAAACTTTGATGCTCTTTAGACTGGAAGAACATGATTTCTTTTTTTGTGTTGTTTTGTTTTTCGTGTTTGATTGAACCCAGGATCTCATACATGCTAACCAGTATTCTAACACTGAGCTATGTATCTCAGCCCCTGGAACATTATTCTGTAGAGTATAAGAAAACATTTTCTGTCTAGAAAGCAAATACTTAGTAAATACTTTGAAACAGGGAATGGCAAGCTTTCTATAAAGGACCAGGTGGTAAACAGTTCAGGTTTCGTGAACCACAGAAGACCTCTATTTTATGTTCTCTGTATATGTTTTTAAACAACTATTTAAAAATATTATAACCATTCTGCACTGTGGACCATATAAAATAATTTGTGGATCAAATTTAGCATGTAGCCATAGTTTACCAGCCTCTGCTCCCAAAATGCTTTTTCTTTTTTTTTTCCAAAATGCTTTTTTCAAAACGGAAAATTTCTTTTTGGAAGAATGGAACCCAGGGCCTTGCACATTGCGAGGCAAGTGCTCTATCACTGAGCTACTCCTCCAGCCCTTTGTGAATTTTATTTGGAGATAAGAGTTTTGCTAAATTGTCCATGCTGGGCTCAAACTTGGGAACCTCCTCCTCAACTTCCTAAGAAGCTGGGATTACAGATGTGTACCATTATTTCCTGCTTCAAATATTTGAGTCCTAAATTTTGTTATTTCTATTATTATTAAAATCTGCTTTTAGAGGCAGAGGATTCTTGAGTCCAGAGTTTTGTGCAGCTTGGGCAGAGTAGGTTTTGAGAATTTGTAGGAGAAGATTGAGTTGAAATGAGGAAATACAGGTTCAGTCAGGTCAAGGACAAGATCACATGTTTGTTGTAATGGCAGCAGGCTTCAGGAGCTGTTTTGAAGCTCTGTAGAATGTTTCAGTACCAGTAGACGTGAGATATCTGGAGTATTCAGGTTATTTTCCCATCACTGTCTTTTTTTTCCTGTTTCCTTTAGAACCATAGCACATTTCAGCTTCCTAATGCTCTTGCTTTTTCTCCATTGTAGAAAAAATGAACACTGAATAGGACTGGAGGTGGGAGGATTGGTATCTAGATTTTATTCTGGCTTTTCCCCTGCTTTGTGTTACATGTGACTTTTGTATCTTCAGTTTTTTGTTCTGTAAGATTATGAAACTAATTAGATGATTTCTGAGCCATCTTCCATCTTGAATTCTTTGTTCTTCCAAAACTCTCACAAATAAAGTTGACTTATATTTGCTCTGTCATCCACCCCAATGTTCTCCACTGATCTCAACCCCCTGATACTCTGATATAACTGATCTTTCCCAGGTTACTCTGAATTGGAATCTAACAGTGGGAATTCCATTGATTCTGTCAATTATGTATCAGGAGACAAACTACTTCAGGGAAATAAATAACCTACCCCCCCCCCCCCCAGTGCTGGGGATTGAACTGAGGGCCTTTGCACTGCACAACACCCTTAGCCAATTAAAAAAATTTTTTTTAAAATTTGAGTCTTGCTAAATTGCCTAGGCTGGGCTTGAATTTGTGATCCTCCTGCTTCAGCCTCTGAGTGCTGGGATTATAGGCATGCACCACCACACCTAGGTATAATCAGTGCTTTCTAAATGCCAGTTTTTTTTTTTTTGGTACCGGGAACGAACTTGGGTCCTTCTACTTTCGAGGCAGGCAGCGGAACCACTGAGCTAAATCCCCGGCCAATTATTATTCTGATAATCATTAGCTTTGCCTTCTTTTTTTTTTTTTTGGTACTGGGGATCGAACTCGGGTCCTTGTGCTTGTTAGTTTTTTTTTTTTAAAAGGACAGAATTGATTAGGAATATATAGTAATGAGACACTTTTGATACTGAAAGGACAGTATAGTATTAAGTAGTATACCAGTTTATGCTACACTCAGTATAAAGGAGTATTTGGATAGGTTCTTGATATGGAGTTTAGGAATGGTGAATGTTACAGAGGTTCCATCTTTTGCTTTGTTACATTATCCTGCCAATTCTTTGGTAGTATAGTATTTAAAAAATAACTGGAAGTTTTAACTTTAAAACTAATAGGAATTAAATTAACATTCACTAATATGCAGTCATCAGAGCAAACATTTAATTTTCCTAAATACTTGGGCATCTAAGCACATACACCTTTAAGTCAGGGTAGCAAAATATATAAAGATGAACGCTGTTTACTGTGTCTATTTCTAGTAAGTTAAAAAGAAAGGTTTATAGAGCATTATTCAAACTGAAATTCTTATGAACTTGTAAAGTAAACCTATTTTGAGCCAGGCCCATTGTTTCTTTCAGTAGAAATAGTTACTGCTGTATTCAGCTCATTTAAATTAGAATAAAAGATCATGAGAGAGGTCAAGGGGCTAGGGATTGTAGCTCAGTGGTAGAGGCTTGCCTGCCGTGAGCAAGGGCCTGGGCTCTGTTCCCAGGACTGTGAAGAAAACCACTGGCAGGGAGGAGAGAAATAAGGGAAGAAGAGGGCCTAGGGAGGGAAAGACAGGGAGGGTGGAGAGAAAGAATGAAAGGCAACATAAAGGACTTTTAAGTAACATTCTTCTCCCTCCCAAGGAATGGATAGAGCTTCCTGGGCCAGGTGTTGATTTAGTTAGGTAGCAAGTAAAGGAGATAGAAAGGAATGAATGTAAAATAAGACTGGAGGTAATTCTTCTCAAGAGTTAGGTACTGAAAGGTATTAGAAGGTATAAAACTTGAAGAATAATTTTTTGTTTAAAACTTTATATATATAAAGCTTTATATAGAGAGAGTTTTGCTAAAAAAGTCTCTTCAAGGAGACATCACTTAAGGTTATCAATATGCAGTTCTACATAGAATGTAGAATTTATACACTTCCTAATTTTCTATGTATAGTTTTTATATCACTTTATAAAAAATGAATAACTGAAAATTACCTAGCCAGTTTTTTAGTAACTGAATTTGTCTTATGAAAGATGCATAATTTTAAGCACACTTTTGTAATTTAAATAATGAAATATTTAGTTGAAACATTAACTTACTAATAGGACATTTGAGATCTATTTAAAAACACCCAACTTGGTTGATTTAATCCACTGTAACTGATTGCAGATGTTTTCCCACACTGATGGGCAGCCAACTGAGGTAGTGCTATCCAGTACAGTCAACTCAATTATCTGTGGTGATTGGAAACAGCAATGCATGGATGAGCCTAAGACAAAATCTTTTCTCAGTAACTTCCTGTCTTCTACTGTGGCCTGAGCATGTGATGGGTTCATGAGGGAGATATGGGAGTGGGGCTCAGGCTTGCAAAGGAGCTCTGGGAATCAGTCTGATGGCCTCAAGGCAACGTGAGGTCTCTCACAGGAACCTGGTTGTGGCACTGTGTGGCTGAAATGTTGTGGGGGGAGCCTGCAGCATGCAAGACCAGCTTGGTGATAGCCATGAGAAGGACAGGAACATGGATTACTAAGGAGCCCTGGCAGATGGTGTGTAAGTGCAGTGACAATTCTCCATGTGCTTAGCGTTAGCAGAATTGGTAGCAGTTGATAGTATTAACATCAGGTGTATTTGTATTACTTTGGTTTTTGTTTGTTACATGTGTGTTTTACTTGCCACAGGTGAGTGCTGTCATTGAGGCCTCTTCTAAATAAGAGCAAGTTTATTGGCATATAATTAGTGACTTTAGAAACTTAGATAAATTTGAAATAATTTTCTATTAAAATTCTTCCTAAATATCATTGTTAACCTGTACTTCCAAAAATTTAGCTCAATGCATTTTAGTATTGCAAGGTCAAAGAATATTATGAAGATAGTGGTGATTACTGAAACGTGTGTTTGATTTAGGAAAAACAGAGCAGCTATATTTTTTACTTATAGGAACTTTACTAAATATTTTTTTTCAAAGAAATAAAATAAACATATTTAATATAAAAGCAAACAAATGAACTATCAGACATATAACAGAATTAACAAAACTAAAAGGTCTTTCTTTTTTTTTTTTGGTACTGGGGATCGAACTCTGAGGTCCTTGCACTTGCAAGGCAGACAGTGGAACCAGTGAGCTAAATCTCTGGCCCAAAAGTTATTTCCTTTTTTTTTCCATTAAGTTTGTTGGTACATTTTAGGTATAAAATACAGTTACATTCATCATTGGGATCTTGTACCTTTACATGCTGTATCTTGGTTTTACTAAATATTTTTAAAAACTGATGACTGGTTGTGAGTTGATGAATGTTGAAGCTGGGTGGTAGGTACCTGGCGGGTGGTTTCATTACATTATTTTGTCTACTTTGAATATACTCAGATTTTCTACAAGAGGAATCTTGAAATAGACGATAGTTAAAAACCTCAGATCTTTGGGACCAAAGATACATGACCTCATGTATAGATAGAATAGGTTTAGTGTTCTTCATCAAGTTTTTAATTCAAGCTATAGATAAAACCACAACCTTTTTCTGAAGATCTATTTGGTTCTGTTTATAGATCCTCCTGTATTGCAACCTGGTGTAGTAATGGGATGGCAAGAATACATATTAATACTCTTTGATTTTCATAACCATGTATTACCTTTATTATGGGAGACATTTAAAAAAAGTTAATGTTCCAAATATCTATTTTTAGGCAGTCATTAGAGGCGTTAATTTTTTTTTTCAGGGACAAGGTGTACTGGGGGTCAGCCCAGAGCCTTGGGGGCCTTAATCTGGGTCAACTCTTGTGAAAAGTGTGCACCTTTTTTCTATTTGAAAGTGACTACTGTAAGATATAAGCTAAAGTAGTCTTTCTTTTAAATCCTTGGTTCTCAACCGGGACAGTTTTGCCCTCAAGGGGACATTTGACAATGCTAGAGAGTTTTAGTTATCACAACTCAGGGTGAGGGAGTGTTTCCAGGGGTCTGCATGGATGCTTTATATCTTATAATGCTCAAAACAGACCCCACAGCAGAGACTTTTCTGGCTCAAGTATCAATTAAAATTTCAAGGTGCTATAAGCTTAGAATTCTTTTGTGGTCGTTCAGGTTTGCATGTTTATGGTTTCATTTCTGAGGAAGTTAAGTTTGTTTCTAAAAACTAAGAAGAATGAAAACAAGACCTCAAAGAGAATACTTTTCTGATAAATTTTCTTTCTAGCCCATGTGTTTAATGACCCAATTTGCTTCATTAAACTCTGTTCAAACTTCCACTTCTCTGAAGTTAAAAATTTCACTAATGCAATATTCTCTTCTGCGATAGCTCCCTTAAATACTTGAAAAGGGCAGCAAGATTGATAATTTACCTAACATGCACAGAAAATGTTTGTAGTTTCTGTAGACTTTACTTTTCCTAAAAAGAAATACTTAAAACAAGATGACTCCCTTGGTCAGTTTTTTTAAGCTTATTTTAGACATTTATTGTGAAACAGATTCTGTTGCTTTTAAGATTTTTTGGTTGTAGAGAAATAGGAGGTTTTATATTTGTTTCAAGCTTACCTCATGCACAGTGATGGCTAGCCTTTCAGAGTTTTCAGTAGCAGCCAGCTGCGTGCCATAGTTTCACCATGACTGATAGGAGGTTTAGAAGGATAAATGATCAGCTTTGAGATTTCTTCAAGTAGTATTTAATAATGCCAGATGTTTATCATCTCTTTATTGTTACTAGCTACTTCTTTTAGAAAGGGGAAATTGAGGGCTGGGGATTTAGCTCAGTGTCACTGTGCCTGCCTCACAAGCCCAAGGTCCTGAGTTTGATCCCTGGTATCGTGAAAAAAAAAAGAAAAAGAAAAAGAAGGAGGAAAGGGAAATTGAAGTATAAGACTGGGGAGGAGTTCACTTGAAAAAAAATGTTGATTAATTTGCTTGAGCCAGGAATAGTGGTGAGATATGTGGCTAGTTTTAGTGTTTTCAAATGCTTTTTTTTTTTTTTTTTGTACTGAGGATCGAACTTGGGACCTTGTGCTTGCACGGCAGGCACAGGAACCACTGAGCTAAATCCCTGGCCCTTCAAATGCTTTCTTTTGACTGCATCCCTCAAGGACATACACATTTCATGTTGTATCCAGTACCTAATTCATGTATATATTTACATATAAAACAAACATGTTTCAAGAAACTGATTACTATGTGTACTTGCAGTCTTGTACTGTTTTATTTCATTTGAAATAATTGCTACTTAACTACTTAAGTTGTAACTTGCATTTTAAAATATGATGCTATAGTGCGTTAGTCACCCAAGAAATTTACCCTTTGTTAGCAGATAGAGTAAGTAAAAATACATTGTCATTTGTACTAAATTAGGCCCGATGTGAGTGTTTAATAAATCTAAATAAATGTTTGATAAGGATTATGTCATAATAAAATATAAGCAGCTTTGCCCAATAAACATGTTTTCCTGTCAAACCTACACTCATTTTTTTTTTTTTTTGATACTGGGCATCAAATTCGGGACCTTGTGCTTTCAAGGCAGGCGGCAGAATCACTGAGCTAAATCCTCGGCCCCCTTACACTTTTTTTTTTTTTTGGTACCACGGACCTTGGGTCCTTGCACTTGTGAGGCAGGCAGCGGAACCACTGAGTTAAATCCCCGGCCCTTACACTCATTTTTAACATTATATTTTAGGTCCCCTCTTTTAAAATAAGATGTTTAAACACTAATGGAACTTGTAAGATATTTAAAAATACAACCAGGTTAATCATTGAGGCTTTCTTAATCATCGTATTAAGTTACATCTTAATGGAGAGGGAAATATTAACATGCTTTAACCCAGAGGTTGGCAAACTTTCCGTGCAGGGGCCAGTTAATGTTTTAGACTTTGTGGGTCATAAATTTTCTGTTATGACTATTTATCTCTACTGTTGCAGTATAAAAGTAGCCCATACAAGTAAGCATGTGAGCAGCATGGCTGTATTCCAATACAATTTGAAATTTGAATTTTATATAATTTTGATATATCATGACATTCTTTTTCTTTTTCTTTTTCCTCAGCCATTAAAAAAATGTAAACATCATTCTTAGCTAATGGGTTCTAAAAATCAGGTGGTGGGCCATATTTGACCTGTGGGGCCATAGTTTGCCAACCTTTGTGTTGACCTAAACTTGGGAAAAGTTGATAGTCCACAAAGGAGAAAATGAGCAAGTGAGTTTGAACAGCAGTGCTAAATCTCTGGCCATTTATATTTTAATTTTTCTGGATACCAGAGCATACATTTTCGTATTGTCTTTTTAAAAATATTATATCTTACAGACAGTTGATATTCATAAAGAGAAAGTGGCAAGAAGAGAAATTGGTATTTTAACTACCAATAAAAACACTTCAAGGACACACAAGATTATTGCTCCAGCCAACCTTGAACGACCAGTTCGTTATATTAGGAAACCTATTGACTATACAATTCTAGATGACATTGGACATGGAGTAAAGGTAGGTATAGTTTTTGTCAAGCTTTTAAAAATAGTTGCTCATAATGAAACTCTCTAGAAAGTAAGCTCTTTTCTAGAGGACCAAGTCTTGGTCCAGTTGTGGTTGTGAAGATTCTTTATTCCTTTAACTTTAAAAAAATATTTTTTTGCTTTGTCTTAGCGCTGTGTTCTTAGTTTTTGAACAGTCTTCAAATCGCTTTTGCTTAATCAATTATAATACCACATATAGACCACTTAAAATGTGGTATGATTTTTCTAATCTTTTAATGATTTAATATGACCAAAAAAATCTTAGCATGTTATTAAAATGTTTACCTTATCTCAAAAATTTATCAGCAGACTTTTGGCATTAGTTTTCAGAAACAACATATTAAGAAGCATGTACTTTGATTTTTTTCTAGAATAATTTCTTTAGGGTGAGAATAGTGCAGATAAAAGTACAGTAATATATGAATGACTCTTTCTACTGCTTTTGAGTATGTAGCCATTACATTTTGGCTGTCTTTTGAATGTCTAGTATGTTCATGAAGTACCATCTTTAGAACTGGGGAGGGCTGAGGCTGTAGATCAGTTGTGGAGGGTGTTCTTTGCATACATAGGGCCCTGGGTTCAGACCTCTATACACAAGCGAAACAGAACCAAACCAGCAAAAACACCAGCCGCAACTGAGGGGCATGTACTTGTCATTTACATTAGTGTTTATACTTAAAACCATTTAGAGCCTCAGCTAAATATTAAGTTATTTAAAATGTACATCTGATTAGTAATTTGAAAGACAATTACTTACAAATTGTGACTTTGAATAAATATACATAAATGTCTGTGGTGCAACTATACTTTTTGCGGTTGATTTTTTTCTAGTATGTCTATTTAAATTAAAAATACACCTAGACTATTATAGCCAGAAATCAGTTAAATCTAAATTTAATGTAGTTTAAGGTAATAAGAAAATATACAGTATAAATTTAGTTTTAAAATCTTTTTTGGACTCAGTTTTGATACAAACTTTATTACCTTTAATTTGATATTTAATTTTATGTGATACATGCATTTAGATTGTTTAATTAGAGCATGTTAAAGTAGGATGTGTAATTGGATAGTTAATTAATAAATCAAGATTTATTTTACTTGGGAAAATTTATTCAAGGCCAAAAACTATAGACTGTTTTAGGTACTATCGGAATCTAATGCCAAAAGATATGTGGAATATTTTTTAAAAATCATATTTGTGCTTGCCTGTTAATGTAAGAAAAAGATCACCTCCTGCAGCTCTTGTTTAATCTTTAGGTAAAATATTATTCCGATAGGACTCTGTAGTCCCTTCATTATTTGTATATTAGCGTTTTAAGGGTTACTAATTTGAAGGGATAATTAATGAAATTTTTTGAATAAAACAATGTCTTAAATAGTTTCATCGAAGAAACCCCTATTCATGACACATTCTGCTTTAATCACTCTTTCTGTGATCTACTGAAACATTATTCTGTTAATGCTGAATGCTTAACTTGTTTTTTCTGTTTTTTTCCTTTCTCTTCACATCCTGAAGTTCCAACTAACCTTTCAATGCTTTTTTTCCTACCTCTTTATTTGCTCCATTTATGCATTAAGTGGTTGCTTAGATTTAAGGTAAGAGCTTCCAGGGCTGGATTTCCATTCTTTTTCTTATATCGAATATTACATATGGGGAGTATAGAGATATTTGGCACTTGGCCTCTTAAAACCAACAGATAATTTCTCTTTATTTTTTGCCATGCAATTTTGTGGTGTGGCTTCATGTTCCTTGAGGGTAAATATTTTTGTCTCTCTATCCTTTGTGCCTAGTACAGTGCCTGACACAAATTAGGTGTTTAGTATTTGTTGAATGAATGATTATTTTACAGTGTTACTATATTTTGTGAAACTGAAATGTAAACTACCCTGTCATAAAATATTATGAAATAAAATTAGCTGAATTTTTGTAAATGTAGAAATGTTGTTATAGATAGGAGGGCCAACTAATGTGCTTTATTCAACTCTCCCCCTGTGTAATAATTTTTTTATTCTATAAATGGTATACTTTATTATATACCTTTTGGACAATATGTCATTATCTTTTGACTCTTAATATAAGGAAATTGAGGAGAAAATATTTAGTGTTATGTGTTTTTTTAAAGTTGCAGTATCATGTATTTTACAAAAAAAGAATGTCTTTTAAAAAATAGCTGTATAAATGTTTCAGTATAAACTAACTTTAAGAGTTCTCAAGATGAGCATTGGCAAAACATCAAAAACTCATGCTAATATGTAATAAAATGTAAGTTAGAAATTAAGAGATGGGGCTGAGGATATTGCTTAGTGGTAGAGGACTTCCCTAACATGTATGAGGCTGAGTTTGATCCCTGGCAATGCGACAGCCACAATAACAGCAAAAGGTGTGTCTGTGGGGAGAATTAGAGGTAATTTTTCCTGTTATGATTTGTTTCACTTAACATTTTGGTATTTTTGAGGATTAATGGTAAAAGTAATTCAGCTACATTCAAGAAGCTTGTCAAACAAATCATTACTAAAATGATTTTCACCAAATGTAGTGTGCATTCTTTTTGTTCTCTTTTTCTTAGCTGAATTTTGTAATTCCTTTTCAAATGTGTATTCTCTCTTTCTGGTGCCCTGTTGTTGGTCATGTTTTCCGTGTAGTAAGCGATAACAAAGAACAAGACAGCTTGAGTTTGGCATCACTACCTGCCCTCACCCAGGCCACAGACATTTATTTTACCTGCTCTTGGTAGATAGAGATGACCGGAGTTGCTCAGGCAAGTGTGTTCTGTGCGTTACTGATTGGAAGGTTGACTCTAAACACCGAGTCTTGGCGAGTTAGGCATGTGGGTTTGTGGGGAGTTTCCTTCTGCTTAAAGTCTAAAGGTTGTAGTCAACTAAACCAAAGGGAGAATGTGTGGCTTCCTTCACTCTTTTCTTCCGGTGACTTTGTTCAAGTTTTGATTATTGATGCCCTGACCTCCAAAGATAAGTATATAAAAATATTAATTGAAGAAATAATAAAAGTAGGTAAATCCTTTATCCTTAAGGTCCAGAGCAGTTGCCCACAACACTATTTCATGCTTGTTTCTTCCTGGCCCCTGTGATACCTTCTTTTTTTTTTTTTTTTTTTTTGGTACCAGGGATCGAACTCAGGTCCTTGGGTTTGCGCAGCAGGCGGCAAAATCACTGAGCTAAATCCCTGGCCCCCTGTGATACCTTCTTTTTTTTTTTGGTACCGGGGATCGAACTCGGGTCCTTGTGCTTGCTAGGCAGGTGGTGGAACCACTGAGCTAAATCCCTGATACCTTCTTAAATCTAGTGGATTGAATAAGATTTCTTCTTGACCTTTCTGGGTTTGGGATCTGTTTCCTTGTAGAAAATAGGCCCAACTGATTGACTCCTACAGAGATCTAACAAGAAATTACACTTAAATAAGATCCTGTAACTTCACATGTAGGTAAGAGCCCTTAACGTCTTTGCTCTTTGCACCGAAAAGCTCTGCTCTAGAAACATGAAGAATTAGATACTGGATGGGACTTTAGTGGAGAACAGTGCTGCATAGGGAGTGAAGGTCCAGGGCTACTCAGCCAGTTTCCTTTCATTCTCAAGTCTACGTACAGACACAACCTATGTGATTCCTTTTTTTGGGGGTTGTTTCTGGGGACTGAACCCAGGGCTTGTCCATGCAAGGCAAGTGCTGTATCACTGAACCACACGCCTGGCCCCAGATCCTGTTCTTTTTTAACTTAACAGTTCAGCTTATGATTTTCTCTATGAAAGCTTCTCCTAACGGTTTTTCCCACATTGATATTTCTGTGTGTGGGATGTCTGTAGAATTTGTAGACATTCCTTTTTGCTTTAAAAATGAATCATATTTACTCATTTTCCAAACCATTGTATCCCCTACACTCTCATTTTTTTCCCAAAGGCCTTCAGTTTGGTACTTAGTAGTTTCGTAGGTGGTTGGTAATTGAGGACTATATAACATTTATCTTTTTATTAGTGTATGTTCAAAGTACAGAACAGTGATGTTCACTTAGGGAGACTTGGTGCGTGCATATAACATATCTTGTTCATTTTCGAGACTATTTTCCTGCTCCCTTACCTCCTGCATTTTCTGACCTCCCCTGTCTCCAACAGTCTGCCTTCTTGCTTCTTGCTCACATATACCATTTTAGAATTATATCTGTCACTGTTCTGTTGCAGCAGGTCATCTTTCAGTGGGAGATTTTAAAGCAGTGATGATGAGATGTGTGAAATAGAGATACTTGGCTGACCAGCTTCAAGTTCAGACGATCCTAGAAAGCACTGCCATTTGTAGGAATGTTATATTACATGGTCACATGTCACTTAGTGATTGGGACATGTTCTGAAAAATGTACCAGTAGACGATTTTGTTTTTTGTGCAAGCATCCTGGAGATTTTTATTTACACAGACTATAACAGCGACAGTGACACTAGATGATACTTAAGGAACCATTGTTAGATAGCAGTCTGTTGTTGACTAAATACTTTTTTTACAGTGCATGACTGTATAATATATTGAGATTTAAGGAGGTATTGAATACACCAAAAGAATGGAGCATGAAAGCTGGGAGCAATGTAGAAAAAATATTAGGCCATAACAATTGACTTGCTGAGTAATGTTGATCTCCAGAGCCTAGGAGACCAGACCACCCTTTGGCCATAAAAGGGCTGCCTCCATTATTATCTGTATTCCTTCACCCCAAGCCCATGGGAAAGTGTGAGCTGTGGCCATGTGTTAACTTTCATGACTTAAATGAAACAGTTCTTCTGTTTTGGAGGTATCTCTCCAGTAGGGAGAATAAGGGACTTTTCCTACTGTTCCTCTTGTGTCTGATACTTGCTTTACTTAGCTCGTAATGATTTATGGAAAAAGTAATAGCACCTAAGCAAAGGATTGTTGAAGTCAGCCATGAAAGCTCCATTCTGATCAGCTTTGGATAGTGCAGTGAGCACTCCTGCTCACGATTCAGGCTCAGACACTGACATTTATGTGGCAGGGGATAGTTCTACCCGGGCATCCTTCCATCCCCGACCCACCCTTGCACTGTGACACCCATGCTGGCTTTGAACTCTTGGGCTCCAGTGATCCATCCATACCACCTGGCCTCCCGAGTAGCTGAGAGTATAGGCTCTCAGCACGATGCCTGGCCTTAGGTTGATATTTTTAAAAATTTTCAAGAGGAGTTACTGTTGTGAAGTAGTCCAGTCTTGGTTTGTTTTTCTTTGTCTTGAGTTTATTGTATGTGTATACATAACAGACACATGTCAAGTTCCCTTCTGTGTACACACAGTTTAGTCTTGTGGTTTACTGTTTGTCAGGAAATGTTTTCTTTTAAACATTTTCCATAAAATACTGTTTAGGACCATGATGGCTGTCCAGTAAATAGGTTTGAACTATAGTTTAATTATAATACAGATTCTACCGTTTAAAAAGAAATTAAATTTTATTTGGCATTTATTCCTGTTCTTCAGCCAGTATTTATATTTTGCATGGTGTATTTATTGTTTTACTTAGCGTAAATTTTTCACAAAGGAAACTTCCTTGGGAAAATGTTGAAAAACTCCTTTTAGCTAAATAGAAAGGTACTATAGTATCAGTGAAATATAAAATTACATTGGACATTACACAGGAACTGTTTAGTTTCTTAAGTGATTTGGATCACTCATCCAGTCCATTAACCAAACAAAGTACAATCATTTGAGGATTCTATAGATCATAAAATGTATTGAGTTTTTTGTTTATAGATTTTAATTCATAGATTGTTTGAAGTGGGTTCTAAGACATTTTAGAAGATACTGCAATTTAAATAAAAACACTTTACATATTGCAACATAAACCAAAGTTGGAAAGTTATTTTCAGATATTTTAGTTATCCCATGTGTAGAATAAAATTATCTTTTACTCTTTATTCTTTTTTTTTGGTACCAGGGATCGAACTCAGGACCTTGCACTTGCAAGGCAGACGCAGTACCACTGAGCTAAATTCCTGGCACACTCTTATCTTGTTTCTTTTCCTTCCTGTCTCTAGCAGTTTGATTTGTAGTTTAGTGTTTGATTCACTTCTCCCTCATCACTTAAAGTAGCTGTGGATATATGTTGTTTAAGGTTGAGCTTAAAGGACTTTGGTTACTACTTTTAAAATCTGGTATTATTAAATTAAGATATACAGTTTTCAAAGCCATATTGGTTATTTGTCTCATTAATCCTAAAATTTTCCCCGGATATGGATTGAATTTTTTAAAAAAAACTTCTGCCATTTTCATTTTAAGGTATAATTAGCATACCCTCTGCTTATTAATGAGGGAGAGAGCAAGGATAAGCTAATTTTCATTATTTGATAATTGGTGTTTGATACTGTTTAAAAGCAACAAAAGGATTACAGATAAATGTTTCACTTTAAAAATATTGACATTTCAAAGGTATCATTTGTCAGGGCCAGGGATTTAGCTCAGTGGTCCCAGCGTCTGCCTCGCAAGCGCAATGTTCCGAGTTCGATCCCTGGCACCAAAAATAAAACACCAAAACTCAAAGGTATCAATTGTCATTAAAGGTTGTTTTAACATCACACACAACTTGTTCACTGGGCTATTCATTTGAAGAATTTGTTTCTTGAAATGTTACTTCTTGCCTGTTCAGATAGTAAGTAGTATTTTAGAACTTTAAAAAAATCCTGCCCAAGGCCAAAGCTAATTTTGATAGCCTTAATACTCTGTGTACAGTTATTTTTAAAAAATCAATATTTTGAAATCACAATTATAAATATATTCTGACTTCAGTGGTATAATATCTTGCAGTTTCATTTTACAAGTATTATTTGAATACTGTATACATACGGTTATTTGAAAGTTGAGATCCTTTTTTGAAGTGTGTTTTGAAGATGGCAATCCAAAATATTAGAAGCTTAAAATAGGGTCTGATATGAACCCACTGGTAGTCTTAAACAACCTGAGATTACATTTGAACTGTATTTGTGAGTGACTTCTCTTAGTTCCATATAAGATATTCAGATTTCTAGGGCTTTCTCTCTCAGAGCTGACATATTCCTATGGTGACATTTATTATTCCCAGATTACCCATCTTTCTTACCCTCGCAGTTTCATTTGGGAATAGAATAGTGAGTGGAGTCCTAGTGTCTTGACTAGGGACCATGTCGCGTCTATCTCATCCCTCATGGTCCTGAGTTGTGCCATTTCCCATTGGAACTAGGGCATTGCCAGTGGCCATTATAGTGCTCACAGTTGAATGGGATACTTCAGCCCTAACTTTCTGATTCAGGTGTTTAGGAATATGCCTCAAACTTCTAGCAGTTTTCAGGTATAGGTGATTTTTTCATAAGAGAGCGTTAGAGAAGTCTGAATTGTAAGGGCAATCTACAACTTAAATTAGTTTTCTCTATATGTCATACAGTTTATCTTTAAATCCTGTAGTTACAATGGGTCATATTCATAGCTGCCTATTTTTAGTTGGGAAATGTGGTTTATGGTATACTTGCTATCTAAAAATAATGAATTGCTTAAAGGCTTTATTGTTTCTGATTGAGTTACTTTTTATTAAAACTAAAAATTTTATAGTTATCCTATTTAGTTTCAGTTGAATATAATATCAAATCATCTAACCAGTGATCTGTTGGTGTGATGACTTAATGACGAATAAATTCTTTGCATACAAGTTGATAATCATTTGAAAATATCATGTTAGGAAGAGTCCTTTGAGTACAACTGTAGAATAATAGTAGAGTAGAAATCGCATATGAAATGCATGGCCTCTAATTTTTTCCCTATATTTAAGCCTTCCCTCCTTTGTTAAATAGCTTAGCATTGTTCCCCCAAAGTGCCACTTCATTTCACTGCATATAAGTTGAGCTTTCCTCAAAATTTTTTAGGTGAGTACCCAAAATATGAAGATGGGTGGGCTGCCACGTACAACACCTCCAACTCAGAAACCACCTAGCCCCCCTGTGTCAGGGAAAGGGACACTTGGGTGAGTATATAACAAAGTAATAATACAAAACCATTTCATGTAGTGTTGTGTTAAAAAGGAAACACAACATATATTTAAATTATTTTTAATATTTGAAGAAAGAACATGTTCTTTCTGGGATTATTTTTTGTATGTGTATGTAACCTTTTCTTTTCCTGGGAAGGAAATGTTTATACTTTAAAAAGATGTTTAGAAATTATTTTTCTAATGAATTTTAAATTGATAAAATCCTAGCACAAGTTCATGGCTTATTATAAACTGTAGTCTAATTTTAATTCCTCGTTTTTTCTAGAAAAATTTTGTAGTACTTTTGTATTATAGTTGAACTTAGACTATCCTCAGTAAAGGTTGTATAGATTTTATAAATTGAGTATAGCATGTTATACTATTAAGCTTTGATTTGATGCTACAGAATTGGGCCCTGGATTTGACTTTTAGCAGAAGTGTGTACTAGTTAACAGAAAAGGTTGACTTTTTTTCTTGAATAGCTTGGTTTATCACAGTAAAGATTTGTGGTCAGGTGGGCATAATCCAGCCCAGAAGCCAGATGACTAAAATCTGGTTTATCTCTGCTATTTGCCCTATTCTGCATGGTCAGCCTTGCAACAATTCAGTTTTTTCATCTGTAAAAGGGGGTGATATTTGTCCTCTATCAACTTTTTGGGGTTACTCTACCAAAAATTGGATTTTAAAAGATTTTATAAGGCAAAATGTTTGACAACCATTGGCTTTATGATATATACTAAAAGTTTTAAATTGACAATCCTATTTTTAGCCCCCTCACCAAAAAAAACCCAAAAAAAACCCCAAAACAAAACCCAATCAAGCACTGTAAATGGGGATAAGACAAAGAGAAGTTGAGATATAAAGGAGGATAATGTTGGAAAAGGAATTATAGTTAGGACAGTGAGAGATAAAGAATAAAATGACTATCAGCTAGGAGTAGGATGGCTTTATTTGAGGTTGTCAGAAAATTTCTGCTTAGAATAGACAGAAAGGATTCTGGTGGATCAAATAGATTTGATCTTAAGCTAGAATGACGCTATAGGATATAGTGGTGCAGAAATAAGAGTGATCAAGAGAAACTGTTTTCCTGTGGAATGTTTGCATTTCTACCATGTGTATAGTGCCTAATGGATTTTGTTAGGCTTTAAATCAAGATTCTTAGTATGGTGGTGCACACCTGTAATCCTCTAGTACTCTGGGAGACTGAATAAAGCAGGAGGATTACCAACTTTGAGCCCAGCCTGGGCTACTTACTGAAGGCCCTGGGTTCAATCCCCAGGACCACCAAAAACAAAAAGCAAAATCTCCCAATAAAACAATAGCAAATAGTTATCAAGATACCTGCTTATTCTGTAATAAAATAAAATTTTCTTTTGCTCACTTTTTTTTTTTTTTTTTTGGTGCCAGGGATCGAACTCGGGTCCTTGTGCTTGCGAGGCAGGCGGTGGAACCACTGAGCTAAATCCCCGGCCCTTGCTCACATTTTTTTAGGCTTTTAACATAGAGTTGTTATTTTTTTTTGAAATAAAACATTTATTGGTACATTTTAGATATATATAATGATAACATTCATCATAGGGAATTTGTACCTGTACATTATGTATCTTGCTCCTTTTTTTTCCATCCCCCCTTCAACTCCTCTTCCCCTCCTTATATACAAAAGTTTTTTAAAATAAATTTTATTTTATCCTGTTCTCCCCTTCCCTCCCTATGTACCAAGCCCCCTTCCCTCCCTATGTACAAAAAGCTTTGTTTCCATTTTTGCGTTTTCTCTTTTTTCTTATCCCTTCTTTCTGTTTCCCCTGCCCCTCCCTTGTTCCCCTTCTCATTTGAACATTTTCTTCCCATTTCCCAGTATCTGTTAGACAGTTTAGTCCTTATTTTCACTTTTAGTTTCTCACATCAGTTGCTCACAAATTTTGAAGATTTGCTCATATCCTAGTATTTGTTTTCCTTGGCATCAGTGGTGGTTCTGCAGGACCTTTGGAGACCAGGGTTCTTGAGGAACACTTGGCCAGTTGGTCTGTGCTTTCCATAGACTTTGCTTAGTTGCTGTATTTTGTTCCTCTCTCCCGTGTTCTTTTTTTTAACCTTGTTCATATCATTTCTTCACTCTGTTCTCAATTAAGAAAGATTTTTTCTTCTTAGATAAAATAAAGCATTTTTATTGTCTGGGGAACATTCTCTAAACATTTAAAAAGTTTGGAAATTCTAATTTGTTT